CGCTGTATTATTATTATTGAGAGACAGGCTCACTGTCTGTTCCTCAGGCTGGGACAGGAGATCACACACTGTATTATTATTATTGAGAGACAGACTCACTGTTCCTCAGGCTGGGACAGGAGATCACATACTGGGCTGCCAGTTCAGCTGAGTTCCCTCCTCCCTCTCCCAGTAGGATTGGGACCCGTTGTGACTCTGGAAGGTGTGGGAACAATACCTCTCTCTCTTTCAATTAAATTCAATTCAAGGTGCTTTATTAGCATGACCGATGGGTACAATCAGTGTTGACAAAGCGTCTTTCTCTCTCTGAGCTTCTCCCTCCCACCGAAACGCGATGTCCACACCCACAGACTACAAGTGCTGTTTTCCCCAGCCCCAGCCCAGTCTCGCAGCGCTTGATGATTTACAGGTAAGCCCTGTGAAGCCGTCGCCTGGCGCTTTCTCTCCTGCGAGCGCCGAGAAACGAGCTCGGAAGCCGTTCGTCCTGAACCGCCGCAGCGCGCAGGCTTGCGGTCCGAAAATGCGCGATTTGAGACGGCGAGCGCAGAGATTCGGGTCGGGTGTGTTTGGGGTTTTTTTATTTAGAAATTTCCTTTGTATTTGAACAATAACCTCAACAAATACACGACAAGAGGGCATACAACATCTAAAATAACGCATCGTCGGGGGGCACATATTAGAAATACACTGGATGTGATTTTACAATGTTCAAACGACGACTTTCCTGTGTTGACATCTCGAAATCATCCGTAGACAGACTTTTACGTCTATTTCACGATGTTCAAACGACGACTAAGTCAATTTACAAACGATAATTCGGAGTTGTTTCCAATGGAATTGAAATGCGACGTACTATCGGTTTCTTTCACGCTGAGCGTTTTTTTTTTAATGCACATTTGCCAATCAGTCCTGAAGGTTTTCAGCGTGGGACATATGAACTGAAATAAACAGACATTTGCACGGTTTGGTTCTCCTGTGTCTTGTTTGAAACCAACCCCGCTCCAACTACAAACTCTTTCCATAATGTTCACGTCCGTGTGGGGGTGGCAAGGATCACAGCTCGTGTAAATGAGTTAAAAGCGCAAAAATGAGTTAAAATGAGTTAAAAATCGTTGCCAGCCACAGTCGACAAGCAGACCCGTTTCCAGCTGCTCTCTGTGTTTGCTTTATTCATCCCAGTGTAATTGGAGCTCAGAAGGGCGACTTGATACGAGAGACCGAGATAAAGGCTCTTTGTTCGCGTTTCGTGTTGACTACGCTGCTCCAGCGCGGAACAACGCCAAGGGCATATCGCCGGTATTGACATAACACCCCGATTTTCTGCGGGTGACAAAGAGCCCTTTGGTTCGGAACCACCCGGCTTCTAGTCTTTGTTCGGTACCATCTGCCTCCGCCGAAGGGGATTTCAATGGCACTACAATTGTTGCCAGGTTTGACTTTGAATGTTTTGCATGTAAGGTGAGCCGGAAGAGAAATTCAAATGCGTGCTTTGCTCTTCGGGGGGGGGAGTTAGACGTTCAGTTGAAGGAATAAGGAAACTCGATAAACAGCAGTTAAACCAGCCCCGCAGGTTCTCCCAGCCAAAACCTGCTTCTTGTTTTGAAACCCAGAGTAACGTTTTTGGACTTGAGACGAGAAGCTGGGCAAAAAAACAAAACAAAACAACGCCGGTATGATCGATTTAAAAGCCCTTCAAGAACAGACCTCTGAAAAGCAGCAATACCCTCCTTTCGGAGTCTTGTAAATAAAATAATAATAACTTAATGTGGCGTTCGTCAAATACACCCACACCCACGAGATACGAGCCACGTTCTCCCCCGTGACTCTCACAAAGACGCGTCACTACACACACACACACTCCAGACCGCACACGTCCTTGGCTAGTCGTCTTTTTCAAGTTACAAGACCGAAGAGAAAAAACCGGCTGTATTGTCGCTTTGCCAGAAGCCGGAGAGTTCTTTCCCTGCTTTCTTCTCAAACGGTTGATTTTTCGCCGCCAGGAATCCCCCCGGTAAAACTGCTGCCGGTGGACAGACGCTGGTCGGCCGCTCTCTTCGCCATGTCGCCCGGAGGTGAGTTTCCACAACGCCTGCCCGCCCGCCGGCCTTTAAAGTTTCTCAGGTTTGCTGGAAAATCCTCCTCCGTTGGGCCCCTGAGCAAGGTCCTGAACCCCAGCTGCTCCAGGGGTGCCGTATAAACGGCTGACCCTGCGCTCTGACCCCCAGCTTCTCTCGCCCCCGTCTGTGTGTCTCATGGAGAGCAGGCTGGGCTCTGCGAAAGCTAGATTCTTTATTGATCCCGTGAGGGGAACTGCAGAAAGCACCTGGTATTCCCAGGCTTGTCTCCCATCCAAGTACTAGCCAGGCCTCTCTCTCTCTCTCTCTCCCTGACAGGTCGCCTGTACGCGCTGCTGCTCTGTCTGTGTCCCACCTTGCAAGGTAAGGACAGTCTCGCCCGAACGCCTCTGAGCCCCTCGCCCCCCCGGCAACCCACTCGGTTCAGAATGCACCCAGATGTAGCGCCTCGCAGCCCATTTCTGCACCCTAAAAAACCAAACCGACAAAATCTGTTGGTTTGAGAATGGAAAGTGAAGGGCAGGCTTTGAAGTCGGCAGCGGAGGGCGTAGATTTGATCGGGGACGTGCTGGCGCCCGCGAGGTCAGCAGGAGAATTTTCCAAGCCCATCCCGGTAGAGACTGGGGGAGCAGGCGTTTCGTAGGAAGAATTTTTTTCGGAACCACACAGGAGTCTCTAAAGTCGATCCAGCTGGCAGAGCGCTGCAGGAGTTTAGTCCAGGAGGAGAAACGGGACGTGTTTGACGATTCGGAGTGAAACTCGATTACATTTGATATGGTCCGCTGAACGGACCGTGCTTATGCTTAGAAACATTGAGAAAGTCATGAAAGTCCCTCGGATCAGATTGAGAAAATGGTCTTCTGCTGTGGTTCATCTTTCACTCCTCATTCTCAAGTTGCTGGGATTTTGCACACTTGTCAGGTCCTCAGGTAGTCTTTTCTGTTCAAGACTGAAGAGACTCAGTTCCCTCAGCCTGTCCATGTGGGACACTCCCTTCAGACT